TTTTTTTTTAATCAAAGTCACACTGCAGAAATTACCCCAGTTAATCTACCAGAAGTGGGGGTACATATTGCTGAAAGTTCAGAAGGTGAAAGAGTACATTTATAGGGCATTGATTCAGTGTTTTGGTACTGCATGCTCCGTGTTAATGATAAAATATGTATCTTTAAAGTTGATTTAAAAAATTATAGCTGTGCTACCATTTTTAAAGTGCTTAATTTTGTTTTTGATAGCTACAACACAAGATAATCTTGATGATAAGCTAAGAAAGTTTGAAATACGTGACATGATGGGACTGACAGATGATAGAGATATATCAGAAACAGTGAGTGAGACGTGGAGTACAGATGTCTTAGGAAGTGATTTCGACCCTAACATTGATGAAGATCGCTTACAAGAAATTGCAGGTAACTGCTGTTAAATTTCTCTGGAAGATTGGTATTTAGTTATTCATATCCACCTGCCCTTCATGGGTGGGAACTTCAGCCTCTGACAGACATGGTGTGTGTGTTCGCACTAACTGGGGAACTGAGAAAAGTGTATGTAACCAGGCACTTGTGTATTTTTTTTTTTCTTTGCCTAAATGTAGGTAGTGTTTTCCCTGCCTGCACTTAACTCCCCCTCCCCCACCAAAAAAGAAACTAATCTTCTGAATTAGCTTCTTGTTTTCAGGACATAGTACATATTCTTAGGATATTCTTTTGAGACTAAGCACATTACGTGAAGATGGAAATTCTTAACAGATTATAGCCCCAAAACTTTCAGAATAATATAATATTGAGATTCTCCAAAAATTGAATATAATGTGGCACGTGACTGGCTCATTCAGTAAAACATGTGACTCGTGATATCAAGGTCATAAGTTCAAGTCATAGAGCCTACTTAAAAAAAAAAAAAAAATTCCCGGAAGGATTAATTCAGTTTCAAAGAGTAACTACTTTTTTCTTTTTTTTTAGTACCAAGTTTATTGAGGTACAACATCCATACTTTAAAATTCACCCTTTTTAGGATACCATTTTGTGAGCTCTGAAAAGTTTCATACAGTCTCATAAGCACCGTCTTCGTTTTCTCTTTAAATCATGGAACCTTTCAGGCAGATACAAGAGAGAATCACGAACTCTGTGCACATCACTCGTTTTCAACTATTACACAGACACAGGTGGCTGGTTTTGTTTCATCTCTTCTCTCACCCACTACCCTTTTATCCTCTCCCCAACCCAACCCAGTTCTGTTTAGGCAAGTTCCAGACATTATTTTATTTGTAATTATTTCACGATGTATCTTTAAAAATGTAACTTTTACCAGTAACCGTTTGCCAAAAGTTTTTTCAGGCACTGAAGTAGCATTGTTCTTTTATTAGGCGTAATCAGAAGTAGTGGAGCATTCTGAACTTGAGTATTTTTAACACAGGTGTATTATAATGTTCATTCCTTTCTATTGGTATTTTTCAGTGGTGTAAATAGACTTGTTAATTGGTTCCGCATTACTTTGCTTCTGGTGCCAAAGTAGTATTTTTTCTGGCAATAAGCTCTCTTTGAGCAATGAGCTATATTTGCAGTGGAGTGAGCGTTCCAGAAGATGTGTATTTTCCTGCAAATATACTTTATTGCTCTGAATATGTGGCTAATGTGCCAGAAGAAAACGTATCTGGCCAGTATACCTTTCTGTGGTTAAGTGTCTCTGTTTGAGAGGTTTTAATCCCTGTTAGGACTGTACATTTTAGATATTTAGGGACACGTAAAAATTTGCTAAAAAACCAAGATGAAAGCTAGCTGAAATGATCTAATGTGTGTTTTCTCTATGAAGAGTCCAAGGTGAACAGGAGGAAACTGAGGAAAAGGAGCATGTGCCTTTGTGACCAAAGTGGGAAATTTGTGATTTTAGTGGTGTTATTGATTGAAATCACACTTACCTTGGCTTCCTTCTTGTGGGTAGAGTAGAGATTATGTGTTGGTTTAGCGTTTGGTCCTTCTCCATGATCACTGCTCTTTCCATCAGGATCTTCGTTAACCCTTTGCTCCCCACTGGTTATACAGGTGCAGCAGCAGAGAACATGTTAGGCAGTTTACTGTGCCTGCCAGGTTCAGGGTCAGTGCTTCTTGACCCCTGCACTGGTTCTACCATATCAGAGACAACAAGCGAAGCTTGGAGTGTAGAGGTATTGCCAAGTGACTCAGGTTAGTATGCCGTCATTGTTTGCTTTCTGATTTGCACAGAAGTTTTAAATGTAAGGTATTTTAATTTCTGTATCATGTACATTTTGTTAGGTGTGAGGCAATCACATTGCTAAGAATTTCAAATGGACAGTTAGGTTAAGGCATTTTCTGTCCATCAAGAAAAAATGCATTGTTGCAGGGCATAGGCAAAGATGGCAGGTGCTTTTTGACTCTGTGTGTAGTTACTTGTAAGCATTTGTTAGCAACTCACCGGAGTTCTGTGTGGGACATTGAGTTTGGTATCTCCCACTAACTCGTCACGAAATAGGAATAGCAGTACAACTTGGACCCTGAGCAGTTGGGTGTCTGGTAAGCATGCCTAGATTTATCCTGGGGAGAACTTGACTCTTTAAAAGGTACCTAGTATATTTTTGAAATGTACTGAAATTGAGACTCTGGAGTCCTGAGAATTATTTTGTGCAGGATTATCATAAATGCATATAAAGTGTTTTGTACTTTCTCTTTTCTTATGTATTGCATTTCTGCTTTGCTGATTATGAAGATAAATCTTTGCTTTCAATGAAATGTCAACTACCAAAATGCAGATTTAAGTAACTGTGTGTCTGAATTACATTCTTTGTGATCTGCTTGGCTCAAGAATAGTTAAGTGATTCTGATATGTGTTTTATAATATTAATGCATTCAGACATGCTAACCTTTAGATAAGGAGACAGTAGGATTAGCTTACCATCTATTGAGCATCCATAGGAGTTATTTTTAGAAAATAGTTGGTTTAATGCTAAGCTATTCTGTATTTTCTTGTTGAGTTTACTTGTTAACCAACAGCATACGTTATGAGATTAGTGATCTGCAGGCGGAGTTTTCACTTTTGCACGATAGACTGGCTCATATTGGGATGAAAATCACAACCTCAACTTCTTTAACACTCGATCTGATCAGCTGTGCTAACTGGCCCAGACTTAGAAATCTGTTTACAATGATTTCATTCATGCTCTGGTAGCTTTCCTCATCTGGGTCACAAGCTGAAACTGTGGCATACTAACAGAATCACTAATGTGGCGCCTCATGTCTTCTGTTTAGAGGCCCCGGATCTAAAGCAGGAGGAACGTCTACAAGAACTGGAGAGCTGTTCTGGACTGGGCAGCACATCTGATGATACGGATGTCAGGGAGGTCAGTTCCCGCCCCAGCACACCAGGCCTCAGTGTTGTGTCGGGTATGTGTGTCTTGTTTTAAGGAATAAGGATTGCAAGGTGTGTTCCCACCTCCCCATTTATAAAATTGCTAACAGAGAGAGATGTTTTATTTACGAGTTGAGGAATTTTCTGGAAACAGAATTGTTTCTGAGGGACCTTAAATCTCTGAGAACTTAATACGTGGCTCTATGGAGTCTGTTGAAGTAATTGGCAAACGGTCTGTGCGTGTTCTCTCTCTAATTCTATCTGTTCTTGGTGGCCTCTGCTACTGTATTTAGATACCACATGATACTTGTGATTATGTTGTACAAATCAAGGTAAACATATTTAGGCAGTAGTACAATAAAAAGGATATGATACCCAATGTCTTACATGTATAAAACTGGGACACAAAAAATTTGAGAATATTTACATTTCTCCAAACTTCATATACTTTTTGTGTGGTTATTTTGTTCTTCTTGCTATTTATTTTTTACTTTATTTATTTTAAAGGCATAAGTGCGACCTCCGAGGATATTCCCAATAAGATTGAAGACCTGAGATCTGAGTGCAGCTCTGATTTTGGGGGTAAAGATTCTGTCACTAGTCCAGACATGGATGAAGTAACTCATGGTAAGAAGTAGAAATGAGAGTGACCTAAAAATTATCCCATTCATGGGTGACATTGGCAGTCTTCCGTGTCTGTTGGTGATAGTACCAGTTGTTCTAGCACTTTGGGGCATGATTTGGCAGCAGGATAGAAGGCCTTGAAAATTCAAAACTAAATGTGGTTCAGTTAGTCCACTTTAGGAATGAATTGTAAGGAAACAGTTCCATGTATGCAGAAAGTCTTGTGCTTCTAATAGCATTTATACTGGTGTTGTCCATAACATTTATACCGGTGTTCTCTATAACATTGATTCGGCAGAAAACAAGAAACAACCTGAGAATTGGAAACTAGAATTCCTACATGCATTTTGATGCAACCACTCAGAATTTATGCAACTGGATTTTAAATCCTCTAAAGCATGTGAAATAACATGGAAAATTTTGGAAAATTTATCCTAAAGAACTCCCACATATAAGATAATGAAACATTACAAAACCGATCATAGAGAAAGTTCAGGAAAGAACTACCAAAATGCTAGCAGTAGTTTTTTTGTTCTGAGTACTGGGTTTTTAGATTCTTTTTCTTTTTTATAAAAAAATTCTTTGTTTTTTCTGAACCAAGGTTTCTGATCCTCCACACTATTGGCATTTGGGGCCAGGTAACTCTTTTGTTATGCAAACCCGTTCTGTGCATTATAGGATGTTTAGTGGCATCTCTGGCCTCTACCAGGAGCACAGCACCCCTCTTCTTCCGCTCTGGTTGTGACAACCAAAAATGTCTCCAGATAGTGCCAAATGATCCCTTGGGGCACAAAGTAGCCTGATTTGAGAACTACTGTTGTAAATGAACAATTTTCAGAGTATAGTCTTCTGGACCACTAAGGGCCCTTTAGGCCCTTTTGGGGGCTGCAGGGTATGATGTCAGAATTGTTTTCATAATCGTAAAAGGTTGTTGTCTTTTCTCTGTGTCGACATTGACACTGATGGTGCACAGGCCAAGGTGGGTAAATTTGCTGGAGCCTTAGCATGAAGCAGAGCAGTGATAGCAAAGTGTTAGTGGTCACTGTATACTCTGTTAGTTAGAAAGCTTTGCTTAGAGTGTCTTTCATGAAGCAGTAAAAATTATTTAATTACATCTCAACCCTGAGTACACATCTGTCTAAAATTCTGAGGAAATATAAAATACCCCTAACGCATTTCTCCTGCATTCTGAACTGTGGTGAAGTGTCTCAAGGAAAAGCACTTGTATGGTTATTGGAGCTGTGAGCTTAACTAGCTGTTTCTTTTCTTGTTTGTTCTTTACAAAACACCATTTTTACTTGAAAGAATGACTGACAAAAACTGTAGTTATTCAGATTTGGGTGTTTGGCAGGCATTTCTTAAAAATTAACAGAGTGAGCCTATCACTTCAAGGAAAACAACTGACTTTATTGCCAATGATAAAATTCACGCTTTCATATAAAAATCAGAATTTCGGAAAACTTGTATCCACCTCCATGACCTTGACAGCTTTCTGATACGTAAAGACTTTTCTGGGGAGATTGGTGGTATTATTAAGATTGTGGTTTTTTAATGTTATGTATTGAAATGTGTCAACCTGTGGAAGATCTGTATATCTAATTAAACCAATATTTTCCAGGTGATCAATACATGATGTTACAAAAATCATTTAAAGTGCAAGAAAGACAGACCAACTAATTTTAATGTAACAGAGTACAAAAAGTTCATTGATTTGGTGTCACATTCCAAATTGTAGCTTACCTTTAAAATACTCCTTGTCAAGATTTGGTGTGGTAGCACAGAAGAATGTCCACAGTTATCTGAAAAGGCTGTTATATTAAAATATCTTCCCATTTCCAACTACATGTCTGCGTGAGGCCAGCTTTATATACTTCAACCAGAATACATACCGCAACAGATTGAAAGTAGAAGCTTATGAGAATCCAGAGGTGTTCTGTTAAGCCACATGTTAAAGGAATTCGTAAAAATGTAAAACAGTGTCACTCTACTTGTTTTTTACTTTGGGAAATAATTTTTCATTAAAAAAGAGTTATTTGTGTTACCATTTAATGGATATGTTTAAATGAATTAATATATAAATATTTATGTTTGTTTTCAGTTGTAATTTATGATATGGTAACTATCAATATGCACAACCAACATAAATAGGCTCTGAGGGGCAATAGTTTTTAAGAATGTCAAAGTGTCCTAACAACAACAACAAAAGAATGTGAGAGAGTCCTAAGACCAAAATGTTAGAACTGATATTCTAAGCTGCCTTTCATAACAATACACTATTTTTATAATTTTAATAAAGGAAGGTGAATATAAGACCTAGAACAAAAGAAGAATCAAAAGGCTTAAAATCCAAGTACTAGCGTTCATTATCATGAAAGAGCTCAGACTCAAAAAGTTTAGAGTAATAGTTTCTTTTATATATTTAAAAATTTTAGCCTCTGCATATTTAATTAGCTGTTTCAATATTTCTGATTTTGGCTGTGTAGACATATGCTTAGAGGAGTCATTTTTACTCTGTAGCTGAAAATACTTCGAGTTTGTTTTGTGGTGTAATGTGGTATTATTCATTTTTGTTATGAGTTCTTTTATAGTCATTTGCTGAGAGCAATATCAGAATTTCAAATTTTACAACTTTCTATTTATACTCCTAGGTAATATTCCCCTTATTTTTATAGGTAGAAGGAAGACGAGACTCAGGGAAGTTGTGACATTCTGAAGATTTTGATGTGATTTACATTTTTTGGCTCTACTCTTTACATTAAATATAATACAGTTTGGCCATTAAAAGTAATCAACATGTGGATGCTAGACCACTTAAATGTCATTAAAATCCATGTAGGTAGATAAAAACATACCATGAATTTGAAGTAATCAGAATATATTAGGTTCTTTTTTTTTCTTTTTTTTTTTATTACTTAAAAAAAATTTTTTTAATGTTTATTTATTTTTGAGAGACAGAGACAGAGCACAAGCAGGGGAGGGGCAGAGAGAGAAGGAGACACAGAGTCCGAAGCAGGCTCCAGGCTCTGAGCCGTCAGCACAAAGCCCGATTCGGGGCCTGAACTCACGAACTGTGAGATCATGACCTGAGCTGAAGTTGGATGCTTAACCAACTGAGCCACCCAGGTGCCCCCTAAATGTTTATTTATTCCATTTGAAAGTGTGCACGAGCAGGGGAGAGTCACAGAGAGAGAGGGAGAGAGAGAATCGCAAGCAGGCTCGGCACTATCAGCTTAGAGCCCAATGTGAGGCTCGATCTCACAAACTGCAAGTCCATGCCCTGAGCTGAAATCAAAAGCCAGATACTTAACCAACTGAGCCACCCAGGTGCCTTGTTTTCTTCCTTCCTTCCTTCCTTCCTTCCTTCCTTCCTT